GCTCAATGTGACTTGTATTCATCTTTTGTTATCAGTACATATTGAATATTACAATTTTTTTTAGTATTACAATTTTCGTACAGTTTTTTCATTTCTTAAAATGTGTATACATTTTTTGGCACTCTCTCTGTCTGTATATGTATTAATATATATCTTGTTGTGTCTTTAAAGTACCCAAGACTTGTTCCTGTCAACTGTTGCAGGGTATGGTATGGCATTATATTCAGTTTTGAGCAGGTAGGTGACTTGTTTTTAGGGTGCCATTTATTCTGAAGAACAAGTTACTGTTGTGGGTAAAATGACCATGAATCATGATGCAAAGGTTGGATCTTTTGAGCTTTCTTCATTTGTATAGATGTTGTGGAATTGTGAAAGATACTACCTCACAATCTAGGTAGTATTGGGCATCACTCAGTCTGTGTGTGAATTTCCACATGACTCCTTCACGGCCCAGGGGAGGTGTCCCGTTGTCGGGGTTGCAGAACTTCATTCCTCTCCTTCAGATTCCACCAGTAATCTGAGCACCCAGCTCATCTCACCCTAATGTGAAAGGAAGAAGGTAAACTGGGTAAAAAGAGGCAAGAAAACTCTTTCCCCAATTTGGCTTTTTTCTCCACCTCATCGTAGACCCTGTTCTCTATTCTTCTTTCCCCAGTAGAGGGGATATGGTTCATTAACTCAAAAGCATGATTTCCACAGTTCTGAGATACTTTGTGGGTTTAAAAGGCTTTTTATGCATTGCTTTAGGTGTTGAACCATCATGTATAAAAATGTGTATTGAGTTTCTTATGAATGAACTTGAAGGACTATGTTGTCTTTTGGGGGAATTTTATTTCTCCAGAGTATTGTATTTTTGTTGTTGTTGTTGATGTCTTAGATGCAGCTTTTTATTTAAGTAAGTTTAACTAGCAAGCACCTACCCTTCTTCAATTTTTGGCTGCTAATAGGATATAGAAGGAAAAGGAGGATAAGGTTCAGGCCTCAAACTATCTGAGCAGTTCAGGAAATAAGCCTATTTAGAGAAAAAAGACAAAAGGAAAATATTAGTGTGTTATAAATTACATATAAATTAATAGCAAATTAGAAAATAAGGGAGGTCATTAAAGAGGAATGTGGGACTTAAGGATTTTCTTTCATTTCTTTCTATTTCTTTGTTCCTCCATTCCTCAGTTTCTCTTTCTCTTCTTTTTTTCCTAAGATGAGAAAGAGCTGAACATGTTTATTATTATTATCTTTTGTAGAGTTGAGGTCAGCTATGTTGCCCAGGCTGGTCTTGAACTCTTGGTCACAAGCTTTCCTCCTGCCTCAGCTCCCAAAGTGCTGGAATTATAGATGTGAGCCCCCATGCCTGTCCAGAGCTTAACACAGTGGTTCTCAACCTTCCTAATGCCACGAACCTTTAATACAGTCCAAAGGGGTCACAACCCACAGGTTGAGAACCGCTGGCTGCTGGCTTAACCTGATTAGACTTTGAAGAGAAAGATCCTATAGAGAAGATGAATAATCCTGTAGGAGGAAGGAGGGAAATAGACAAGGCCATCTTCCAGAGAAGGTAGGGTAGGTGGGATCTAGGGCATCCGGGGAGAAATGGGCCTTGGATAGATAGGGGCAGGCACTTTCTCCACTGTGATGTGAAGGTGAAAGGAGAGGTTGGGAGGTCAAAGGTTCAGCTCCCTGGCTTCTTTTTTCACTATTAGCTAGGAGGCTAGGTCTCTTTCTCTTTTTTTTCCTTTTTAAATAAACAGTCTTGTTCTGTCACTCTAGGCTGGAGTGTAGTGTGAAGGTGGTAGCTCATTGAAGCCTTGAACTCCCCAAGTAATCCTCTTGCCTTAGCCTCTCCAGTAACAGGACTCTACAGTCATGCGCTACCAGCTTTTTAAAATTTTTTTTGTAGAGACAGGCTTTTGCTATTCTGCTCAGGCTGGTCTCAAACTCCTGGCCTGCCTCAGCCTCTCAAAGTGGTGAGATTACAGGTTTGAGCTATTGCACGAGACTAGATCTCTTGAGTGGAAGAGTGGAAGGGAGATCAGAGTTTCAGGGAGAGTGAGGGAAGATTTAAAATAATGGTTGTCAATGGATGTAGAAGAGAATGACAGGCAGGAAAGTGAGGAATATAGTTTGGGTTGATAGCTTTATTGTGGGAACAATCTGTTATCTGTTTTTTGCCAACAGCTCACAACTTCCTAGGGGTAGGGGTGAGGAAGTGGATAGTTGAGTTCACAATGTTTAGGGTTCTGCTAAGTGATTATAACAGATTTCATATTGTCCCACTTTGTTATTAATTCTAATTTATTTATTAATTACTAATTATTTATTAATTTCTTTAAAGACAGAGTCTTGGTCTGTTGCCCAGGTGCTATCATAGCTCATTGCAGCCTCAAAACCCTGGGCTCAAACAATTCTCCTGCCTCAGCCTCCTGAGGATCTGGGACCACAGGGTGTACACTACTATGTCCAGCTCATTTATTTTATTTCTGTAGAGATGGGTTTCCCTGTTTCACTGGCCTCAAGCAATCCTTTCACCTCAGCTTCTTGAGTAGCTGGATTGGAGTTAATTGTGCCTGGCTGTCAGCAATATTTCAAAGCAAGAATTCTTTCTTTAAGCCTGCTTTCCCTCTTTTCTCACCCCACGTGGCTGATCAGTCCTTTCCTGGAATTACCACTCTCTCTCTTTTATTACTCATTTCACTATAGAACTCCGTATCTGTGTATCTATAGGGGAGGTTCTTAAAGCCTCAGTTTTGATGACATTCTTTTACCTTTATTTTTTGTTATTTAAAAATTTTATTTTTTCTTTTATACTTTTTATATCCTTAGAACTCTGGGATTCCTATGGTACCTGGTAAATGATAGAAGTTAAGTACCTTTGAAAGCATGAAGGGCCAGCAGGACTTAGTTCCTTGCTTAGGGCACAAGGAAAAGGAAATAGATAAGGATCAAATAATTTAGGAACTTGGATTTATTATTTGCATAGAATGAGTTTCTTTTATTATTAAAATGATCTGCGGAAAGCAAGTTTTTCAATCTGAGATAATGCTATTTGGGTACAATCTGGATGCCTCACATTTTCTTGTGGATTATATGACTTTGAACCAAAAATTGCTCAAAAGATGAAATCTAATGATTTTATGGGTTTACTCACCAAATTAAAAAATATATATAGGCTCGGCTCCCATAGTTCAGTGAGTAGGGCACCAGCCACATACACCTAAGGTAGCGG